AGAAAATGGGAAAAACGGGGCGGTAACACACGTGACGACGGGTCGGGTCATCACATTGTTGCTCGACTACTTGCCTCATCATGTCCATAATACGAGCCATGCTTTCCATATCCTCCACTTCCTTGCTCCTATCACACTCATGAACATTATTAGAGACATTATAATAAGAACTCTAAGAAGGATAATAAGAATTAGGACAACCATCCCAATGGCCACCTTGACAACCACACACATTAGAAAAATTTCACACATCAGATTGAGATGTACAATTTTGCCCAAAGTGTGGTCCTCCACAATATGGACATGGATCACCAAAATAAGAATAACCAATATTCGACCAATTATCATTCCAAGATGCCATATCAACAAAGATAGTAAAATATTAAACTAAGATAAAAATAAAAAATAAAAACTTGAATAGGCAAAAAGTAAAAATCCAATCTAGTAGAATAGTTAATTTCCAAGTCCCCGGCAACGATGCCAAAAACTTGTTGCTCCCAAACGCACACGCAGTATACGTGGTCGACAAGTAATATAGGATTGTAAGTCCAGATATCGTACCCACAAGGACTTGTGATTAACTATTAACTAAACTAGACTATCCTAATTTTCTAAACAAGAATTAATCCGAGAAGTATTTGGTTCTAAACTAATTAAATAAAGAATATAAATAATGAACTTTTAACAGGGAGAAAGAGCAGATATTTATGATATCAATGTAATGAAAACGATCTAGGGTTATGGGCTATCTAACATTCCTATTGTATTCTTCAATTGAATTGACTAACTAATTTATCTAGTTTATTGGTTGACAAGGTTAATATTGCTTGTAGCCTTCTCCCGAAGTACCACTCGCCTATTCAAGCTAACCTAACGCTTATATTCCTATGGAATTAGGATTAACAAGAACGCATTTACAATTCCCGTATAGTAACCAAGCAAGGCGATTAGGTATATTCCTATCCTAACCGCAAATCCGCTCCCCCTAAGAGTTAAGATCCTTCTCTACTCAATCTTATATGCAATCTAGAATTCCCTCTCCCGAGTTCAATCCTAAATTCGTAGATAGTATTCAATTGGTGATCAAGCAATCAAATAATTAAGCGCAAGATTGAATAAATAAACCAATATGATAAACTAAGAAATCAAAATCAATATCCGAATAACAATAGCCATGAAAGAACCACAACCCTAGAACGTGAAGTTTAGCTCCACATAGACATGGTAGCAAAACAACAAATCATACAAAGAAACATAAAAAGACTAAGTTGATGGAAGAAAAGATGAAACCCGGCCTCCACGGCGGCTCTGTGCTCTTCCTTGGTCAAAAATTCTCTCAAAAACGTTCTCTCATGTATATATACCAAGTAGGGTTGGGACCAAACAATTATACCTTCTCCAATGTGAAAAAGAACACTTTTCCCGAGTGACTCGCGCGACCTCGCGCGTCCTTCGCGCACCATTCTGCCTCAGCCCCCTAACACGCGCGACTTCGCGCGTTCTTCGCGCGTTCCGTTCCGAATTTGGAAAAACGTAAAACATGAAAGTTGTAGCCCTTTTAGTTATCTTTCCAACCATATATTGTGGAGCCCAAATGGAGTTCTGAGAAAAAAGTTATATCTATTTTACTAGATAGTGCACAATATGCCTACTGAAGTCTTCGTTTGCTCTAACTATCATCCGTTGACCCCCAAACGCGATCCCGGCTTAATTCCTCGAACTTTTACTCAGACTTCAAAGCTCCAAATCACTTGAATTCATTCCATAACATCTACATAGCTCAAAATCACTCCTACAAGGCATAAAATACAGTTAGTGCAAAACACTAGCGATTAAAGCTCAAACTCAATTAAAGTGCAGTAAATTAGAGTGTAATAAGCGACTAAAATACGTAATTATAGCCTATCATCACCGGGCATACGCCCAAGTCCCATATTTTCCTACGGACCCTCCGGGACCGTCAAATCACGGGTCCGAATCTGTTTATCCAAAATGTTGACCGAAGTCAAATTTATTCATTTTAATATCAAAATTTAGCATTTTTCACAGAATTTCATATTTAAGCTATTCGGCTACGCGCCCGGACTGCGCACACAAATTGAAGCGACTACAAATGAGGTTTTCAAGGCCTCGGAAGCACGGAATGAGTAAGAAAGCAGGTTATGACCCTTTGGGTTGTCATAGAGAACTTTTAGGGACAAGTGTTAGTGTGTCACTTGTCTTTGCCTCTTCATGAGGTTGTTCTCTCGGTATTTTGTACTCTCTTTTTATATAGTGGATTGCTCATCTCCACGGTGGATGTAGGTCAGTTGATCAAACCACGTTAAATGTTTGTGTCTCTTTTAGTATATTTCTCATTTTGTTGTATGATTTATCGTCGTTCAAGGTTGCTTTACTAGTTTCTGCATGAGGTTGTTCTCTCGATATTTGGTACTCTCCTTTTATATAGTGGATTGCTCATCTCCGCCGTGGATGTAGGCCAGTTGACCAAACCACGTTAAATGTTTGTATCTCTTTTGATATGTTTCTCTTTTTGTTGTCTGATTTATTGTCGTTCAAGATTTGCTTTACTAATTTCTACATGACACCTGATTATTTCGATCCTAACGTGTAGAAATAAAAAAAATACCTCCACTCATCCATTGAAAATTCTAGACGGCTCTCTAATTGTTTCGGGGTAAGCAAGTGGTGGTGAATTAGTTTGGGTAAATGATGATTAACGCTGGAGAAGTACAAGTGATCAGGAACTAAACTAAAACCTTCTTTAGCCTATATATATATATATATATATATATATATATATATATATATATATATATATATATATATATATATGTAAATTATTAATGTTGTATCTGGTAACGTATACGATTTCTTTTGTAAATGACCTAAAAGTGACTGCTTTAAAAAAAACTCGTGGCTCTTAATGCCTTAAAAACATTATAGAAATATATTATCTATAATTTTTTCTCTTGTAAGATTAAGAGCAACATAGTTAAACTTGGTAAAAGGTACTATCATGGTTTACTATATGACTGTTGGTCAAATTTCATCCTTTTTACTTCAAAATTATGAGTATTTGTTAGCTCTAACAGGCGGCTAAGGGTAGTGCAAAAGCTTAAACTTTTTGCTCTTTGCTATTTCCTTCAAGAAATCTCTTTTACTCAATGATTTGAGATAGTTTTTTAGAGGAAGAAGACAACAGTAGCTGCTGCATTTTTTCCGAATGAGGCAGCTGCGTTTTTATTGCCTTTTTTTTGGGACTGTTTTGAGCTGGGTTGGTGATCTGTTTAAGGGCGAAACAGGTTGGTTTTAGACTGGATTTTCAGGTGTTTTTGGACAGTTTTCATGGTATTTTGGGCTGGAGATGAAGCTGGTTTTTGGCTGCGTTTTTCAACCGTTTTTTGAGTGATTTTGGTGATGTTTTCGACTGCTTTCAGCTGGATTTCGTGGCTGTTTCTGGGTTGTTTTTGGGCAGTTTTTGAGGCAAGTTTGTCAGTAATTTATTCTGGTTCTTGGTTGTTGATGGATGACGTTTTTGGGGTGATTTTGGGTTATTGAAGGGCTATTTTAATGGGGCAAAATGGCTCAATTTGCTGGATTTTTAGAAGTAATTAGTGTTATTTCTTTGTCTTTAGCTACTGTGTATAGATGTTAAGAGAAGAAAGAAAGCAAAATGACCTTTATGTGGTAGTTTCTATGGCGACCATGAGACAATATTAGGATTCAATCCTCGGGAAGAAGAAGGCTGAGTGCCTGCCTTTTTGGCTCTTCTTTTAAGCTCTCAGATCCCTCCCCCCTTTACTTTTCCTATTTTCACATGAAAGAACCACACACTAACCAACAATCATCAAATGCATAATAATCAGAATAGGAAACATTTATAAAAGCATCATCTTAAACATTTTTTTTTTGTGGAGAAGTGTTTAGGAATGAGTACGAAGAAATTGGTGCCTTTCTGATTGATGAATTTAATGCATGTTTCTGGTAGAAAAATAAATAGTTTTTGGGTTTAAAATTTTTTGATAAGTCTATGCAATTCAATTTCACGCATATGCAGGGACTAAAGTCAAAGTTTAATATGAGACCTCTATTTGTTCTTTGCTTGCTTAATGATTGGAAGAAAAAAAATAAACAGAAGGTGATGATAAAGATGAACTTACCGCATAACTGTGTGCTCCTCTGTTCAAGATGATTGATCAATTAGGTCTGTTCCAAATAGCAGGGAGCAAATTAATTAGTAAGCCCTACTCCTTGGATTTATCACGAAAAGAACCTAGAAATTAAACTTCAGCTATTAAAATCACAAATTGACAAATATTATCAAAACTGATTCAAATGTAATACCATAGGCCAAAATGGCAAAACTCCAATTAATATAGACTATAGTTACTAGTAAAAAATGAACCAACAAAAGTAACGAAACAAAAGAGAAAACTAACGGTTGAACTACTCAATTATACATAGGTAAGCTTGAACAAATACAAATAGCAGGTTCCTTTCACACCGTCTCTGGTACTTGTGTCTGTTTGAATTTGCCTGCACATAGATGAGCTATATCTTCCGTTGTCCAACAATGAAACTATTGATCTTATAGAATTAGTTGAGTTAAATACTCAGAAAAGGTTCTAATAGTCGCATACTCTCGTATGCTTTACTCTCTCAAATTACTTTGCCTTTTTGCTTTTTCCAAATTGAATTTGTTAAAGATTTATGAAGGCTGCTACCATTTAAAAGTGTCATGTTTTCTTCCATCTTGACACCTTCAGTTTCACAGATGTCTATTGTTTTGCTTCTTTCTTTCAAGTGATTTTTGGTTTTAAAAAAATTAAGAAGAAGGTACAAATTAATATAAAGGGATTCCACAATTGCCTCCCCGAACTCCATACATGCATGTCGAGCAAATTTTATTGCTGGAACATGTGTGTTGTTGTCTTGTTCGATAAAATTTACTATACAAATTATCCTAACATCCAGTATTGCTAATTCTTTTTGAATGCAGCTACATTCACTTTTGCGCCTGCTTTTTGGATGCTCCTCTACTCGGAAAATGTCGCGGAGACACGTGGTTAGCGTATTTGATTACAAATCTATATTCCAATTGCTTTTTTTCAAGTTAACTAAATATTCATTTTGCTATACTATCTGTGATAGTAAGCTACTGAAAGTATTACTAAAATATTGAGATATAAAACTATACTATAATAATATGGAATATATAATAGTAATTAATAAGAGGTTTGGTTGGTACTAACACATTGTATGCAAAGAGAGATTGTGGTAACTGGTTCTCAGCAAGTTTCCTGCTTGAATAGTAGGTTGTAGCCAACCATATGATTGATCTTCATGGCTAAACATCTTGTTTGGAATACTATAATAACAGCTCCTATATTGTCTTTTTTGTGATCTTTAACTTTTTACTTGTATTTCTATTTGAATTCTCTGCTCATGTAAAGAGTCTTATACACGAGATTTAATGGAAATGTTTTTACTTATTTCAATGTAAGTATCCTTTATTTAATTTCAATAATTAATAATCTTTTAACTTTGCATAAAAATGTATCAGAGGAGTCGTAAAATTGGAGAAGGCAAACTTACTTCTGTACATTGTTTGACATAACTCTCTTAGGTATTACTAATGCATTTACTATGTTTGGAATGTATTAGATTCTTCAACATGTCAGGTTTGTTTTGATGTTCTGTTTTCTTTTGTTTTTATGGCCACGCTTAAATCATCAATGATTTAAATTGATCTTTCTTGGCATAAATTTAAATGTTTAAGCTACAAAGTTTATCGTAACTGCTTTTCTGTTTCAATTATTTTCTGTTTCATATATACTTCGACTATTAAACAAGTACTTTTTTGTGTTGCTTACCTGAAATTTTGCCATCTTGTGTATTTCAATTGTCTGCTTCTACAACAAGCATGTAATCTTCGTTATCACATTCTTCCCTAAACATATGTAACCTTCTAATTTATAACACATTTATTTGTTTGCAGATATTTTTGGCCAGGAACTAATAGAAAAATGACCAAAAAGAAGACCAAAAACCGCATATGTAAATAGTTGTATCATACATGTTGTAACTGTTGTGGCACTTTAAGCATCCCTTAATGTGATGCTCTCGTGAATGCAAACAATGTATATTTTGTTCAATATATATGTAAATTAAGTGTGTATTGCTTAGCATAACATATTGTCTACTAGATTCCATACTTATATCATTAATTTTTATTATATTTATAATTAGATAGCACGCGGAGTTAAATAATGTTGGGCCCGTGCTGGCACGGGCTGCACCAACATAGTATACTTTAGAAGAGCAGCACTTTCGACATGTGTGCTTCAATTCTTTTCAATAAAGCCTGAGGGCATTTAGGTCATTTCACATGACCTCTATACGTGCCTTTTATGGAGTCCGGAATCAAAATGTGGTTCTTTTGGACTCAAACTACACAAATAGGTGTAAAAAAAAGTTACCATACTATATATAACGCCAGAAAACCTGGCGCTATACATTAACGGTAACTGCACCGTTAATGTATAGCGCCAGATTTTCTGGCGTTATACAAAAAAAATCTGACACAGCTGATATAGTGCCATAAAAAGTGGCGCTATATGTATATACTCTTTCTTTTTCTTTTTGGTAATTATTAGACATCATTTAACTACAATCATTTAGTTATTGCTCTTCTATTTATGAATATTCATTTAATAAGTTTTCTAATATTTAATAATAGTCATTAATGATTTTCCTAATATTTAGAACTTTGAAATCAATTAAAACTTTATATGTTAGTAAAATTTTCCTTATCTTAATTATGTAGATTATTTTCACCCCAATCATTTAGTTATTGCTCTACTATTTATGATATTAAAAAATTTTTACCTCCCAAATGAAGAAACAATGTAAGGTAATATATTTTTATAAAATTTCATCTGATTATTGCATTCCATCTCTTGTTTGATCGTGGGCTAATTTGATCAACTTCTGAGCTCAATCGGATAAAAAAAGTTAAATTACAACTACTATACGTTTTTTTCTTATTAAAATGACAAAAATTACATTTAAAAATTGTTCACGGAATATTTGGGTTGGTTCTTGACTGGCAAACAATTTTGGACAAATAAATTTGATCCAACTTGTTAATGCGACTTGAAATTGATGTTGGGTTTTTTAAGGTATTTAATTAATATATTAAATACTTAAAAGAGGGTGAATGGGAAATGGAGGGAAATGAAATTTTTGAGTGAAATTTTAAGTTCCCCCTCCCTTGGCAAATGGGCATTGTCCCATATTGGAAGAGGAAGAGGTTTTTTATGGGTATATAAGCAATTGCTCTTCTTCTAGCTCTTAAAGAGTTGAGAAGAAGGCAAGCCTCGCGCCGTCGTCGTCGTCGCTCGCTGGGCTCGGCTTTCTGCTTCGGCTTCGGCTTCGGCTTCGGCTTCGGATTTATTTGTTAATAGTAAAATATTAACAGAAATATTATTAAATATTTGTTTTAATAACAAAATATTAATATTAAATCCAATCCGTTTTTCTGTTTTGGTAACAGAAAAGTAACTACCCTCTTCAATTTTCCCTCTTTATTATTGAGTAAATGACCATTTATGTAATGGCATTTATTTTGTGGGCGTTTTGCATAAACAGCCATTCTGAAGAGACCCAACTTTGGCTATAAATACAACACTATTCTGCTCAGAATTTTAACTACAATTTTCTGAGTTTCCTCTCCTTCTTCTGCATACTTTTAGCATCAAAACAAAGCAAAAAGTAAGTGTGATTTGCCACCGAACTTTGTGTTCGCTGAAACACTGGGGTTTGAAGTACCACTACACCAGTGTGTAATTCGTTCTATCCTGGGAGGAAATAATCCATAACCTTGGGTACTAGGAGGGGATTAAATTCCTTAAGGAAACACTGTGAATTCAGTGGGCTCGAATTGGTTTATGTCATTTCTGTTTATATTCATTACTGTTTATATTCATTTATATTTCCAGAATTTATTTTACAAATATAGTGTAATAACAAGCTTAAGGAATTTAATAATTTATTTTCTGTATTTGTACTTACTGTTTCTGGAAGAGTAAAACCTTTGTGGTTTTGTACTCTATTAAAATCTACGTGATTTTAACGTTTGTGTCATTCTTTTACAGAAATGACTAATGAGAATGAGAACCAAGCGGTTCCAATGGTGACTGCCAATGCGTCAACAAGCCGAACGACACCGGCAGCATTGGCACCGGCGGAGAAACCCGAAAAATTTTTCGGGATTGATTTCAAGCGCTGGCAGCAAAAGATGTTCTTCTATCTGACTACTCTAAGTCTCCAGAAGTTCATCAAGGAAGATGTTCCTGTGCTGTCCGATGAAACTCCAGAAACTGAACGCTTTCTCGTAATTGAGGCATGGAAGCATTCAGATTTTTTGTGCAAGAATTATATTTTAAGCGGGCTGGAGGATGGTTTGTATAACGTCTACAGTGGCGTGGAAACGTCAAAGGAACTGTGGACTGCGCTTGAAAAGAAATACAAAACCGAAGATGCCGGGTTGAAAAAGTTTGTTGCTGCAAAGTTTTTGGACTACAAAATGGTAGATAGCAAGTCTGTTATTACCCAAGTCCAGGAATTGCAAGTGATTATTCACGATCTCCTTGCTGAAGGTATAACTCAATTTAATATTGATGTTGAAAGTAGTAATCTTAGTATTTTTACTAATAGAAATTTCATTGAAGGTCTTGTTATCAATGAAGCATTTCAAGTAGCAGCGATGATTGAGAAGTTGCCTCCTTTGTGGAAGGACTTCAAAAACTACTTGAAACACAAACGCAAGGAGATGTCCGTTGAAGATCTCATTGTTCGGTTGAGAATCGAAGAGGACAACAAAGCTGCGGAAAAGAGAGGCCGTGGAAATTCAACAATAATGGGAGCAAATATTGTTGAAGAGAACAAAAAGAGAAAGAAGGCTTCTGGACCGAAATACAACCCAAGCAAGAAGCGGTTCAGTGGAAACTGCTACAACTGTGGGAAAACTGGACACAAATCTACGGAGTGTCGTGCTCCGAAGAAAGACAAGAAAAGGGGTCAAGCAAACATGGCTGAAAAGCATGATGATGTTGATGATTTAATTGCCATGCTTTCCGAATGCAACTTGGTGGGCAATCCTAAAGAGTGGTGGATTGATTCTGG